ATCGCTTCTAGTAACAAGTGCCTTACTAGTAGTAACAAAAAGCTATTAGAAACAAACAGCTACTAGGAACAAGTGCATCGCTTCTAGTAACAAGTGCCTTATTAGTAGTAACAAGGACGCTACTAGGAACAAACAGCTACTAGGAACAAGTGCATCGCTTCTAGTAACAAGTGCCTTATTAGTAGTAACAAGGACGCTACTAGGAACAAAAAGCTACTAGGAACAATTGCATCGCTTCTAGTAACAAGTGCCTTATTAGTAGTAACAAAGACGCTACTAGGAACAAAAAGCTACTAGGAACAAGTGCATCGCTTCTAGTAACAAAAAGCTATTAGAAACCATAGTAGCTTTTTGTTTCTAATAGCTTCTTTGTTACTACTAGTAAGGCACCTGTTACTACTAGCGTGGCACTTGTTCCTAGTAGTAGTAGGAGTGAACCATATGTGAACCGAAACGGGCCGGAACGAACACTCCCATCGCCAGTCCGCACCCGAGGCGAAGCCAAACGGCCAAGCATTTGAGCGAAGAGAAGGTGGACGCAGCCCGGCTCAACTGCTCCAAACTCGCCGTCTAAGACACTGTCGCTGCAAAGCTGACAGTAAGAGGTTCCGGCGTAATTGGATATCGAGCTAAACTTGTTGTGTCAGAGACTTGGGGCAGCCACTGGATGTTGATCCCAGCCATGTTCATGTTTGTGCAAAGTCTTTCATGTCTCAAAAAGATCCAATCTGAATGTGAAGAAGCATGCCACAACAGCAACAAGTCAAAACAATCCACTCATGCAATTAGTCCATCTCTCAAACGGTTCGGCAGCTGGTGTGGGATTCGTCCTGCAATCTAAATAGTTGGACCTGTGAAAATAGGCAAACAAATATCCCACATGTCAAATTCTGTCCTCAAATCTCAAACTCAAATAGTAATCGGACTGACCACAGGGATCTCAAATAGTATGGTAATTCGGGCGTTCAGGCTCCGAGCGACAGCCCTCCACAGGCATGCATGCGAGCGAGAGCGGGAGCGGAGAGAGCGAGAGCGAGTGAGCGAGCAGCACAGTCGCGGAGCCTGGCCCATCAGGGTTTTGGAGGCTTTTTGATCGTGTTGCGTGGAGAAAGTCTCAGAAACGACTCGATTCTTTTTGAAAAAGGCATCCCAGCATCCCATTCCAAAAACCTCAGCACATCCCTCTCAGGGTTTGATCTCTGCGAGGCAGCTGGATGGCTTCCGAACTTGATCCCCAGCTGGCTCATGGCGGCTGGACCTGGTCAGAGTCGAAGGTTGTGAGAGAATTCCACCACTTGAGGATTGGACGCCATCATTTTCGGGGGGTATGTGGGATGCCTCCGACATTGGTTCGCCCAAATAGGGAGTGAGGCTGACATGGAGGATGGTGAGTATAGGCAGATCATTACAGATGGTGAGGATGGGTACAGCATGGAGACTACGCACCTTTTTGTGATTGATCCCGTGATCTCAGAACTCCCCTTGAGTGTCTCTCAGATCGGCAATCTAGGAGCCGTGATCAAGTGTGTTGTCTTACAAATCCTTCCTCAACCTGTAGGTGGCCACATGTTTCTTTGCTGGTTATCCAGACAGATCAGAAAAGTGTGTCCATGCACCTGGTGTCCCGTTTGGCCATGGCTTCCTGTTTTTGACCGCTCCTTTGGCATAATGTTTTTGATCAGATTGAACCAGGACCCTCATGGGCTTGTGTCCTTACAAGCCACGCAAAGGTCGTGCAAAGAAAACCTTGGGGATTCATGCTAGAGAGAGATATCTTTGCGCAGAACAAAACACCAGTTCAGCGGGCCAATGCCAAATTCGCGTTCGGTGGGGGCTGTGAATGATCCTCATGTAGCTTGACGAAGTATGATGTCAGTTGGAGGCGACCAGGGTCGACCAGGAACTGCCCAGTGATCGAATGACCGAACTGCCAACCGGCCAAGGGCTCTGCAGGACCTGGCCGGTGTGTGTCTCCGGGTCGGTTGGACGTGGATCCCGAGTTGGTGTGCGTCCACTTGAACATCTTCATGAAGCTGAAAAGCAAACACCATCAGGTGGCATTTTTCCTCATTTTTCCATGCAGGTGGAGACGGGTTTTCCTATCTGTGCATGTGGATGGGAATGCTTTCTGGCAGGAGATGCCCCTGTGGCCGCCTGAATGGATAGGCTTAGAGTGAAGGAACTGGCTTTGAGTGAGGACAGCTTGAATCTCCATGGGAGTCCAAAAGCATAAGTCATTCATAATCGAGACGTCTGGGCACTTGGAGCTGCTGTTCCTAGCAGTAAGCCAGGAGCCCCTAGTAGCGGCTCCTAGTAGCGATGCCAGGAGCCCCGAACGTAGCTTCTTGTTCCTAGTAGCTCCTTGTTACTACTAGCGTGGCACTTGTTCCTAGTAGCGTGGCACTTGTTTCTACTAGCTTCTTGTTCCTGGTAGTTAATTTTCTTTTCGGGCTTTTCCTCCTCAAATCAGCTCAGCTCCTGCATATGCCAGACCGGGTGCGAACGGTATGCACAAAGTTTGCAGACCGGGAGAATCGAGCGCCCCATTCTGACGTGCCACATGCAGATCGGAAGGAGTGTGGTTCGGGGAGTATCCAATTCTGTTGGAAGATGGTCAACACCTCAGTTTTCCGATTTACAACTGGAAACGACCATATCATGTCATGAGGTGGCACTCTGGAGGGTTCGGAGATATTGCAACCATGTAATTGTGGAAGGGATTCAGATACTTGGGAAACTAGAGACGAGCAGAGGATGTCAAGATATCTATCTATACAGTTGCTCGTATTGGACAAGTAGACAAACATCTCTCAGTGATAGCCATGTGGAAGATGTCACCACCACCACATGCTTCACCTCTGACCGCCCTCGCCGAATAGGCTCGACGCAGTCTCAATACGTGGTCGCATGGATCAACATCATGTATGACTATGAGTCAGCGAGTCAATCAAACCTTCATGCTCAGCAGAGATCACAGACTTTTGGCTGTGTCTTCATGTCTCCTTTGACCAACAGGATGATTGTTACCACACGCACACATTTTGATTGATACCCGGCACATGATCATATTATCCGCACATACCCATACCCTTCTCGAGCATTCGATCTTGAATCGAGCGCTTGAAGGGCTTTCTAAGACGTTTTGAATTGAATACATCATAAGATCTGGATGCCAATAGCAGGTGATTAATGCAGAGAACTCTTTGTTAAAGATCTTAATTAGAACAAAGCAAACGCTGCTTGCCTTGCTGTTGTACCGCAGCAAGTGTACAGAAACACGAAGATGACCACTTTAGCGCAGCAAAGGCACCATGGAACAACAGACTCGGCCCTGCTCTGAACGTGAGCTTAGAGAGTCTCCAAAAGAAACGTTTCTACTAGTAACAAGGGCATTTCTACTAGGCTCCTGGCCTTACTAGGCACAAAGGGCATCGCTACTAGCAAGAAGCGACCTCCTGTCGTTTGCACCTGACCTCTCACCAACCGGTCGCGCTCTAAGCAGTGCACGCCACTTCGGGCCCCGCTTCGGGCCCGGCTGTCACCTGTGGCGGCTTCCGGGCCTGGGACCGAGCACTCAGGTCACATGGGTTTCATTTGTGAAGAAACAACATTGTAGTAACAAGAAGCTAGTAGTAACAAGTGCCTTACTAGTAGTAAGAATGTTTGCTATAAAGAAACAAGAACATAGCGATGACCTCCAACCTACTCACTATGGCCTCCAACCTAGAAGCACTTAGGTGACGCGACATGTGTCATTCTCAAGAAAATTAGTACAGCACATCATTTCACATCCAAGCTCAATCAAGATATCGAAGGTGCTAACACCTCACTTCTATCATTTTCTATCTCAAGTGCCCATTTGGCTCAAGACGCTTCTGGAGTGGTTTGAATCATTTCCGGTGGCTTCGTAGTCTCTCTCTCTCCTCTTTTTGAGCCATGTCAGAGACCCAGGACCAGGGGGACGAGCACGGGTGACCGATGCTCTTTGATGAGAACCTGTGACCACCCAATCTTGTTTGCATCATGTTCATCACAGCAAGTGATGGTCAGAGGCGACTGGTATAGCGCATCTAGACTTGTACGGGAAGTGGACGGTGTGAATTCATCGAGCAAGAAGGGATTTCGACCGTTTGAGGAAACTCAGAAGGACCCCCCTGACGTAGCACTTGTAGCTACTCGATATGGTATACTCAAGAGTCAGTTGGAGACCATCGCTAGGTTGGAGACCAAGCATGAAGTAATGGTTCCGGCCCAGCAGATCTCCCGCACTCGGTTTCCATTGGTTTGAGCTGGGTTTGGACAGCTCTGCTGTGGGCAGGACAGCCAGCTGAACCAGCTCGCCGACATCGTCTCGGCCAGGGGATTCGGGGGGTTGGGAAGACACGGAGACGGAAACTAGCTTAGTCTGTCAATGGTCAACCAGTTAGGTTAACCAATGGCTCACCATCGACGTGGACCGTGGTTAAACAGATGGTCAAACACATGGACCACGTTTCCAGAATTCATGGGCAAAGCGACGACCGCCATGGTCCAATGTATCTTCTAGCTACGACCAGGTGGTTGTTTGTGACGCAGTCGTTGCTCGTGCTTCCTTGGAATCCGAATTGCGGCAAAGTCAGGGAAAACTAGTAACAAGAAGCTACTAGGCGCTCCTGGCATCGCTACTAGGAGCAAGGACGCTACTTGGGTCTCCTGGCCGTACTACTAGGAACAAGAAGCTACTAGGGGCTCCCTGGTATGATCCCTTGTACGTTTGCTCTTTCGATGATCATTAGTCGAGGAGTCCAATGTGTGCAGGGAATCTGATCTCTAGAAGCTCTTCGAAAGGAGTTCTGCTCACAAAAGGAAACCGATGTAACTCACTTTCTAGTGGGAATCCTCCAAGGTCAAACTGAAAATCACCAGGTTGGAGGAGGCCATTTAGGTTATGTCGATTCAACCCCCACTTTCTGGTGGGAATCTTGCTCCTAGTAGCGATGCCCTTTGTTACTAGCTTCTTGTTCCTCGCAGGCTCCCGGGTGAAATGAAATCTCAGTTGTGACTCCATCAGAACGGGAGGAGCTCATGAAGCGGATGGACGAACAAGAAGTGAGGCGCCGACGCATCGGGGTGCACCGCGCAGCACGAAATCAGTGCATAGCGGATGTGCCAAGTAAGAGGCTTCGAAGGGCTTCTGCTCTTGAGGTCTCCATTTTGTTAGGAATGTGACTTTGGTACGCCTTCAAATTCTGGCTGCCCTCCCAAGGGAACAAGTGTGAGTTGGGGAGCTGTGACATTGACATGAGGAGGTGCGAATTAAGGAACCCAATAGCAATGGCCTCCACCCTACTAGCGACTAGCGACGGCCTCCAACCTACTAGCGATGGGCTCCACTTAGTAGCTTCTTGTTACTAGTAGTAAGGCACTTGTTACTAGAAGCGATGCACTTGTTTCTAGTAGCTTATTGTTCCTAGTAGCTTCCTTTCCTGCTTCCTCTTGGGGTTGTGCAGCCTCAAGAGATTCCTCTTTAGCGACGCCAGGAACAAGACGGTCCAAACTCAGAACAACTTGGAGGTGGCCGCCATGAAACGCCGCATGGAGGCGATTCCGAAGTTGGGTCAGAAACAGGGAGTCTACAAACGTTCTTCATGGAGACTAAGATGATGGAGAGTAGTGAAGCAGATGCGTAGCAGTAGCAGGCGCCATTACAGGTTGGTTTGATGGCCTCCAACCTAAAAGCGATGGCCTATAGTAGCGATTGGTGGGCTATCAAAAATGAGGGTCCTTCTGCAACTGACCTGCCGGATGCAACTATGCTTTGATGTCTTCCTCTCAATGGGTGTTTGTGCAAAGTTGGCCAAGGGGTCTTCTTGTGAAAGTTTAACTTGTTAAGAGTCACAGTCAAGGCCATCATGCCATCATGACTACCCGCTGTGCTGACATTAACCCAACCGTGATAAGCGGTGTACGTAGCACTGGCCGTTGGGAAGCGCTCTGTGAGGATTTGCAGCAACATGCCATCAAAGATGCCAAGACACTTCGTGAGGACAGCCAATGGTGGCCCGGGAAGGTGTTCAACTTAACTGACGCGTTGCTGTCGCTCCACATCTTTCAACATTTTTTGAAGGTGGCAAGAACGGAATTTGGTCCAGAAGTTTTGGTAGCAACCATGGCTCCCACCTCCCAAGCTCTTAAGCATCCCACCAGCAAAAATGTCAATGAACGTATTTGTTCACCAGAGGTGATTCAGAAGGGTAGCAAATCAAGATGCTGTCATGATCCAGTGTTGGCTCATCGACAAAGACCGCAAAGCACGTGGAGCACAGCATGTCTGTTCAAGCAACCAGGTCATTCTTGAAGGTGTTAAGACGGGGTTTGCGTTTCACCTTCCACACACATTGAAGAGATTTCAGTTGATGTCCACCTCCCACCTCGGTGTGTTAAAAAGATCCGAGAACAGACGACCGAGAACAGAACGGAGTGAGAAACGTCCACCTCTCGCGTTCGACCGCTGACCGCGCAACACGACACGTCGCAGAAACAGCGACCCATTTAATGTAAATTTAATTCTAATAGCTTCTTGTTACTACTAGAATTCTAAAAACCGCACTATACCGACAGTAGTAGCGTGGCGCTTGTTTCTACTAGCTTCTTGTTACTAGTAGTAAGGCACTTGTTTCTACTTGCTCCAGGAGATGGACCACGTGGTGGACAGCTTGGGCAATTTGACCGAAGACGTCGCCCGGCGTGTCACCAAAGCGGTGCAACACTACGAGGACCGAGTCCGACGGCGGTCGTGTCGTCAGCTTTCGAAACTTACTAAGCTAGTAATTTACTTTAAACTTAATTCTAATAGCTTCTTTTGTTACTACTAGTAAGGCACCTGTTACTACTAGCGTGGCACTTGTTACTGGAAGCTGTGGGGTTTGGAGATCGTTTTGGAGCGAGAATTGGTTCAAGTTGGAACTAGAGCAACGGATTGCTCGCATGGTCGGAAGACTTGACATTTGCGTACTGCCCTTGAGTTGAAATGCAGAGCCCTCAATACTTCTTCCAGATGCCCAGACATCCTACTTTCTTAACATACCCTTCGAGTGTTGCTCAACAGTTCCTTCGTCATCAATTAGGCAAGCAAACAGCTTCAGGCAAACGCTCTTGGCGAGACATAGCCGGCTCACCGCTGGCAGTACAAATGTGTCTTTCTTTTCTTGCGTGATACTGATTCATGGTGCAGATATCATCCGAATGTGCCTGTTCAAGCGACTGCCGTAGCTGACATATCAGGAACGCTTCACCGCAGACCTCGAGAAGCTTCGTGGACATCTCAGCATTTGGGGATGGAGATTTTTAGGGAGTACCGTAGCTTAACCTAACAATTGTTCCTTTAGAGCATTAACCTAAGAGCGATGGGACCTCCAACCTAATAGCGATGGCCTCCAACCTAATAGCGATGGCGTTCAGAGGGGTCTTATGGAATGAAGAACATTGCAGAATGACAACGAGTTGCCAAGGGCTACCTGACACCTAGGTGATCTCACAGAGGTCACGATATCTTTGGACTTCTTAAGTGTCGAGCAACGTGCCAAGTGCTGTCTAAAACTTATTTACATCCATACAGCGTTGCACATTTATATAAATGTGCATACCATAACCAGTATTGGACAGCAAGGCAAACAATTTGAACATCCAGTGACAAAGCTGTCTCAACGAAGAATGAGTTAACCTGGGATTACAACCCGGTCCCATTTCCCCCGGTTCCGAACAGAGGAACCTGGACCTCTTTGTTGTGAAGGTGCGTTTCATATGCTGAGATGTGCGCCCATAGATCCGCTCAGGTGAACATTTGGACAAAAGCATCAACACGCAATCTTCTGTCCTCTCACAGAAGATCGAAGCTGCCCTCAGTGCCAGTGACCGCCATGTGCGCCGGGTCGGTTGGTCGAGATGTGGGGACTGCGTCAAGATGGTCGCGCAAGGAAGGAAGGAAACCGGTCCAAAGAAAGAAAATAACAAAAGACAACTAAAGGAACAAACCAGTAAAGAAAGAAACAAACAGATGGTTCCAAGATCTACTGTAGCTTCATTGTGCATACGTTTGCATCGAGGTAGACCACACAAAAACACGTGGGCAGTCCAATGCAGAGACTGAGCGGTGGCATAAGCCGCTTTGGCGGCTTCAAAAGTCTCAATGACATGGGCCTCAAAACGAGCCCCTAGCAGCGCTGTTGTTCCTAGTAGTAAGGCCAGGAGCCCCTAGTAGCGTCCTTGCTCCTAGTAGCGATGCCAGGAGCCCCTAGTAGCTTCTTGTTCCTGAAAGAGTTGATTTCTTAGTGTCACATGATGTCACTTGCCTTGCGGGATCCACTCCTTCGCTCGAATCTGCCCAAGTTTGACATGTTTGAAACCAAAGGCAAACGAGGAGATCTTGTTCTCAAAGATTAGATCAATAAATAGTTAGTCAAACGTTCCTGGTCTCAACTCCCATGTTCCTTCAACCAATCCTGGTGGGCCCTTGCAGTTTGCCTTCTTAAAGAGACTGTAGCTGAAAACGATAAGGTCCAGGAGTCCAGGCACTTGCCTGTCCAATCACCCAACGATGTGCGGTGACTGTCTACGAGTCCACGAAGTGAGTGGTGCAGAAAAAACTGCCGTCATCGGTGGACATCGGACGTCAATGTCCTGACCCGGTCTGGCCAGGGCCATGAAGAACGTGAAGGCTGTCCCGCTGTCGGCAACGCTTTCCTGGATTTTAAATAGTCTAATTCTAACTCTATTAGTAGTAAGAATGCTCCTAGTAGTAAGGCCAGGAGCCCCGTTCGTAGCGTCCTTGCTCCTAGTAGCGATGCCCTTTGCTCCTAGTAGCGTACTTGCTCCTACGGTATACGCCAATTGAAGGGGCACCACAAACTACTCTCAATTGGATCAGAGGTGGTGCGGAAGCCACTGCAACCACAGTTTGTGACAATCGTGAGAATGACATGTCTGTCTAGCTAACAGAAAGGCTTGGCGCCGACTTCACATGATTTACACTCCCTAAAACAATCATGGAAGTGGATGGCACCACCTGTTTAGTATTCGGACAATGGTCATCGAAGGAGCGCTATTCTACTTCCATGTTTTTTTTTTTTTAATATTGTTTTTTCCAGGGAGTGTAACAGCCTATTCAACAAGACCTCTGAATTCTGCTTCTGTACCTTCCCTTCCGTGCCGATCTTTGACCCTTTCGGGTGAGACACGTTCCAACGCATGCACGCACCATCGAATCAAAAGAGATTATTTTTGGTCTTGCCTGGTGGTTATTTCTCAAACTACTGCAGTTGAACTGGACTCCCCTGCTTGCGTGTTGGCTCCTCAAAACTTTGGAGAGGAACCTGTGTGGCCGCCGAAAGACAGCCTCAGCGCCATCTCAAGTCACCGTTTTTTTCGGAGGTGAATCGGAGGATGGGGCGAACACCGCCTCCACCGCCAAAGTGGGATCCATGCGGAACGACTCGGCGATGCGCCGGGGTGCTCGACGCTTCGTCCAGAGAAGCATGCACAGTGGAGAACAAAGACATGCTATAGCACGCTACGAACGGGCTCCTGGCCTTACTACTCGGAGCAAGGACGCGATTTGTAGCAAAGGGCATTACATGTTTATAGCGCGAAATGGTCAGGTCAGCATTTTGTGGTGCTTGCTCCTAGTAGTAATGCCCTTTGCTACTAGTAGCGTCCTTGCTCCTAGTAGTAAGGCCAGAAGCTACTAGTAGCATCCTTGCTCTTAGTAGGTTTCCAAAAGCTTCTCCAAGCGTTGTCTTTGTTCTTTCCTTTGCAGTTGTGCTCTTCAATGTGATCGACTGGTGTTGGTAGGCGCTCCTGGCGTGGGGGATTGCAGTAGTAAGTTGAGCGCACGTGCACCACAGCTTTGCCTGCTGCTGGCTGATTGGCCGGATTCTACTGATGATAACGATGACATCTCAGAAGTCTCTTCATTCACAGTACTATAGGAACAAGAAGCTACTAGTAGCTCCTGGCATCGCTACTAGGAACCCGGGCATCGCTACTAGTGGCAAGGACGCTACTAGCATGATTCTAACATCAGATGGCGCCCTTGTAAGCCTACTAGTAACAAGTGCATTTACTAGTAGCTAGAAGCTACGTATACTAGTAGCTATTTGCTACTAGTAGTAAGGCCAGGAGTCCCTAGTAGCATCCTTGCTACTAGTAGTAATGCCCTTGTTACCAGTAGCGACCCTGCGGGACCCGGAGATCCCAACACCGTGTGAAGTCCTCTCGTCCGCAACTCTCAGGCCGTCTTGAGTCGGTGGCCCACATGCTCCGTGCCGAGGCCGGCGGTGGCCGGCGGTGGGTGGGCTTCCAAAGAAAACAAACAGCTTTATTGTTCCTAGTATCGATGCCCTTTGTTACTAGTAGCGTCCTTCCTGCCCAGGTTCAAGTTTTTGTGTTTTAGAGATGTCGATGTTGTTGGGCAGGGATGAAACTGGCTGGAGATACACCTTAAGCACCTGTGAGTGAAAAATCGACTCACCTGTCGACTCACTGGAAGAGTCCCACCGAATGTGTCGAAGATATATATATATATACACAGAAGTATACATACAATTAACAATTATATAACATATATGTAGCCCGCTGGGTTGGAGTCCAGGTTGGAGGTAGCTCGTCCTCTTCGTCTCGTTCTCTCGTCCTCTTCGTCATTCCTTGAGGCCTTGGCTCAGGCCCAGGCCTTTGAGGCGAAGTTGGCCTCGGTGGAGGCGGGCCACGCCGCTGATGCCAAGCGGCATCTTGGCAGCGGCGTCAAGGGTCGGTGCGTGTGGGGCGGACTCCGGGGGTGTTGGCTGTTCTTGGTTGTCACATGTTGTAACAGAATGATTGTAGTTCCAGCAGTTTTTGCCCGGTTCGACCAGAAGAGGGCATTTGCTTGTGTGACCAACGAATGAGTTGCTTTCATCTTTTCTAGGCCATCTGGACGGGACTGACAGCCCTAGAGTCAGTTGGCACCGAACATCCCAGTAGCAATGCCCTTTGTTACTACAAGCTTCCTGTTCCTAGTAGTACGGCCAGGAGCCTCTAGTAGCGTCCTTGCTCCTAGTAGCGATGCCAGCTTCTTAATCTTTTTTGGACCAATCAGCAACTTCTGGAAGCAAGTGCAGCTTGTCGCTGCTAGTTTCAAGGCTGGGAAGGTTGAGGGGTTCCGGGAACAGTACATTCAGACTTAGATGAGAGATGACGAGAGAAATAGAGAGAAACGATCAAGAAGCTACTAGGAGCAAAGGGCATCGCTACGAACGGAGCGTTCGGACGCTACGAACGTAGCTCCTGGCCTTACGAACGGAGCAAGGGAGCATCGTTACTAGGAGAATAGAGAGAAACCTGGATCGACCTGGCAGACTCATCACCTGGATTTACTGTATATAAGGGCTCCTGGCATCGCTACTAGGAGCATTCTTACTAGTAACAAGAAGCCACTAGGAACAAGTGCATCGCTACTAGTAACAAGGGCATTACTAGTAGTAACAATAAGCTACTAGGAACAAGGGAATTATATACTGTATATGGTTTTTAATAGCTTCTTGTTACTACTAGTAAGGCACTTGTTACTACTAGCGTGGCACTTGTTACTACTAGTTTTTCCTTCGTCCGGGGAGACTCTGAGACCTGACGGATCGACCTGCGTCACGACGGGTTGATCACACCGGTGACGTCCGAGGCTGCAGGGGATGTTGCACTCTTCCTATGCTCAGCTGCAGGTTATTGGCAATGTTTCCGCATGCAAAGAAAATGCAAAGCAATGGAACACGCCATGGAAAATGCCATGGAATCGACATGGAATACGCTTGGAATTGTCCATCTCATCTGGTTCAGAAGGTAAGGATAGATATATGATATAGAATTTTTTTTGAGACAAGAGTCTGGATCTTCAGAGTCCAGACCTTTTGTTCAAACCGATTTCTGGCTGCTTCGGCCCCCCAAACCCACGGCAGGGCTTGCAGCGCTCCATCAGCGCGATGGAATGCCCGGGACTCCGACGGGGCGACCAACGGGACCGCCATGACCGGAGTTTTGGGGCGTCCTTTGTTACGTTCGTAGCGTCCGAACGCCCCTCGATGCCCTTTGTTTGCTCGCCCCTCGATGCCCTTTGTTTGCTCCTTGCATTCCTCAAAGCACTTGGTGAGAAGGAACCCAGAAGCGATCTCAACAGCGTGGAACCATATTCCCAATAGCAGTCAAGTGGAGCAACCTGACGTGGTTCTTTGCCACACTCCGACCCTCGGCCCTCTCTCTCTCTCTCTCTTTCTGCGAGTCTTATGTATATACAACAAATCTGCTTGGACTAATCTCAACAACTGCTGAGATATGGATTGAAGGGATGACCTTTCATTGAAGAAAGCACGCTATATATATATATATATTGGTATATGTATGTATATGCTATCTACAATTTCGTGCCCCAAGTCCATTTCGCCAGCGCACCAATGCGCACGAGGCGGTGTTCCAAGTGCAAATCAGCTCAATCAAAGCCCGAGGGGCAAGATCCCCCAGGCCGGAAGACGTCTTTCAGTGGAGACCACCAACGCTCGAAGAAGACGGACAAACAGAACTAGACCCTATGGTAGACTGGTATCTGACAACAGTGTGACAAGTGACAAGCGGTCCTTTTGAGATGCGCTGAAGACATCCAGGTCACACTTTCAGCTTTCGTGTGGATGCAGGATGATTTACATACGCATGCCGCATGCTCGTATTTACTGTATCGTGACTGGGTGTAGTATGTTCGTTTGGATTTGATACGCATTTCCTGTGCTTCACAAATGGAAGCCTCGTGCTCCACCCGTGGATTGGGAAGATTCGATTCTCGAGATGGGAAGCCTCATGCACTGAAGGCGAAACCTTGAGCAAAGAGTAACCGGGTAACACAATGTAGCAAAGGGCATTGATGATGTATCCAGAGCAAACAAGAAGCTCTCTGGAGGTCAAAGGAAAAAGAGAAGAAAAGGATAGAAAAGGACAAAGCAGAATCTGTATATTTCAGGAATCCTGGAACAGTATTCTTCTCGCCTTTGTTCTTCCGCACAAATTCTCTCAAACCTTGACGAAGGTGATGCCCCAGAAGCCGAATCGGCAGCCCAGCTGAGTCGTGGTTCACTCTTTGAAGTTTGTTCGGAGAAAGAACACGAAAGAAAGCATATGAAGAAAGCCTGTATAGTAAGTATGTTGGGTCCTACAGGCTGGATGCGTTCCTTGCTTCTTTGAGAGGGACCTGTAGGATCATGTAGGATCTAGATTAGGTACCAATCATCAATGCTTCTTGGAAGCGGGTTTATGCGGTATCTGAAGGCCTTCTCGATGGCCAGAGAAACTAAAGACAACAACATCTCGTGGAGAAACACTTGTCGTATTTACTTACTTGGGTAAGCCTTGGGTGAATGTTTCCACGCAAAGGCCTTCAAAAGCCCTTCAAGATTAAAACTTAAACCCTTCTAAAGTTTGGACGTTCTTTTTGATCTCTGTCGCTTCACCCCAAAGCCTCACCTCAAGCCCCCGTCAGTGCTGAGGGCTGAACCGAAAGTCGATAGTGAGCCCAACTTCCGTGAGGCCCACTTGGGTCGGGACACCGGTAGTGCTCGCGGTAGTCCCCCCGGTCATTTCGTCTTCTTCGGATCGTTCAGATCCGAAGATCCGGGAAACAAAGACACAATTGCCCGAGTGTCTTTATTTCGAAGCCACGGTGGATATTTTTAGACAAGCTTCAGAGAAGAGAACCTGAAGCTCAGAGATGTGTATGCAAAATCTGTCCGTTCAATTGTTTTTCTCTCAAGTCTTTGTTTCACTAAAGACTTCTCTTACTTCATTTCTGTGGGTTCCGCTTCGGTCCGCAGGAGTTGACCAACAAGCTGCGAAGCATCCAGACCTCGGTCACTGGTGTGCTGACCATCTTGGATCCCACGCCCAACCCACGAGGATCGCGGTGTGGAAGAGGGAACCAAAAGACTAGGTGACTAGGATGTAGGTATAGCCATGTTGATGTGTAAAGAGGCAGAAAGAGAGAGAGAGAGAGATAGAGAAGTGTAGCAGTGTAGCATAAAGATTCTTGGACTTGATTGTTGTGCGCCTTCTTTTTTCGACCCTTAAAGAAACCGTGGACCATTTTCTCTAACGCTTGAGCTCAGTCTGTCTAGGACAATCTCCGAAGCGTCCATCGAAGAGTCCCGTGCAGCTTCCCTTGAACCCGGCTGGAACTTTGGAAACCCAGATCAGGCGCGAAGAAATACGGGACCATACGCTAGTAGTAACAAGTGCATCGCTACTGTAGTAGTAACAAGAAGCTATTATAGTTAAAAATAGTAGCTTAATCACATTAGAAATACGGGACCATACGGGACCCAAAGAAATCCGTGCAAATGCTGTTTGGGTTCAGGAACCTTACTACCCTTGCTTTGGGCATGTTTGGCCGAGACATACTTGAACATCTTTCTAGCAGGGTTACTGTATGTCGAGCATTTACCGGGGCATGTTAATTTGAGAAGTTGGTGTGAGATTCTTCGTTTCCATAGCAACAGGCACTGTTTTTCAGAGCCTGAGTTGTGCGAAACCTGGCGAGGCAGAAAGACTTTGAGCAGGCTGGGAGACGATGAACCGTTTAGACGATGACCGTTTCGTTTGCTTTGTGTGGCGCACTCTGGACAGCCGAAGGCAAAGCTACCAGATGTTTAGGTCTTGGGCCAGGCTGAATCAGATTCCATGTAGTAACAAGTGCATCGCTAGTAGTAACAAGAAGCTATTAGAATTAGCATTAGTAGCTTAATGTCTACGGGTAGCCTTCAATCAGATTCCATGTCGGTTCAAAGCGGATCCCTGCCCGGCCCGCTCCGGTGGTCATGGATGGACGACAAGGGTGGCGGTGGTCATGGCTCTCTGATGATGCAGCCCCAAACGGTTGGTCCTGGGTGTCAGATGACGAGACTGCCATACTTCAACCCACTCAACACCCAGGTGACCACGGAATAGCCCAATTTGTGATGAAGCCTTTTGATCCGCAAGCTCGCGATGAACTTGGCAACAAGCAGCACTGCAAGCGCGGCCACAGCACTAGTCCTTGGGATGCTGAGTGGTCTAGCTTGTGGCAAGCTTTCATGCATTTTTCCAGGCTTTGGGACAGGTTAGTGGCGAAAGGTGAATATAGTAACTATTGATATTGCTCTATGCCACCTGCTGGTGGAGTTGCATGTGCAAAGAGCTTTTCGTGTGGGCATGTTTTCACACTTCCCCTGTTGTGCCGAGGAATTGGAGGCTACACCCTTCAGTATGTTGCTTCGGTCAATGATGCCGGTACCAGAGCAATACTCGACGTTGGGCCGGCATCCAGGTGTGAAGATAAAGACCTTTCGCAAAGTAACTCTGAGCGGCTTCAAGAACCAAGCGCTGAATGGAGACTACATCGAACGCAGTGGGAAGGAGTTTACCATGTTTGATCGCGAGACCTACTGGTCTAAAGACTGTTCCAGCATCTTGTATTTCCACAAGCCCTCACTCTGTTGGACCCTTGCTCCAGCTGGCGTGTGGGCTGAGTGGAAAGCTGGCTTCTTTGAGGACTTGATATGGGCCCATGCCGAGCCCGAAGCACGCATTAAGTCTGTCGCAGGATGGCATGAAGTGGTGCAACCTTGGACGGAAGCTGTGTTCAACATGGCAGAAGGGGAACTTGTGTCCAACCAGCGCGTAAGTGTCAAAGCGGGCAAAGAGGAGGTCAATGTCCACGAGCAGGTCGAGTCTTTGCTTTCCACCATCCCTAATGCAGGTGCTGTCTTGAGCCTTGCCAAATCTAGTCCAAAGAGTTGGTTCCTGCAGATTTGCCAAGTGTTGGATGAGCTTCCGCTTGTGAAGCATAGCTCGTTGTCGGCCCTATCACGAAGCAGGGATGCACTGGATCAGGAGTTTTGGCGGCAATGGTCAAGCATTCTCACGGCAGTTGAGAAAAAGAAGCGTGATGGTGTCAGGCGGGCCCAGATCCTCCTGCGATTGGAGGAACAAAGCCGTGCTGCGGCTGAGGAACTGATCGCAGAGGAGGAGAGAGAGAAGAAAGGGCAAACTCGGTCCAAAAAGAGGCAAGCCAAGGCTCAGCCATCTTCGATTTCAGGTGCTGTGAACTTGCCAGAGAAGATTGAAGATAGCGAGGAAGAGCAAGGTGATGCGGAGCCTAAGGGCGAGGTGACGGATGGGGTGTTTGGTTTGGCTATAGATGTTTCAGATCCGGTCTTGAAACTTCGGCACAGCTTTCCGATGTTCGATGATGATCTCCTGAGCACGCACCTCATGGATGCTGCCTATGACTTGGAGAAGGCCGTAGTATCCCTTTCAAAGCTCGAAGCAGAACCTGCAGAAGTCCTAGAGCCTGTTGAGATTCCATGTTCTCAGACCCTTGGACTTGGTTGGAGTTTCCATGGGAACGCAAAAGTTTCTTCTAAAGAATCAACCAGCTCGGCGAGTTGCTTTAAATGACATCAGTAAAGATAGTAAAGAAAGCAGGGTGCAGGGGACCCATCTCAACCCGGGGGATCTCTTTCTTTACAGTGACGACACGTACCTTGATTCTTGAGGATTGGCTTTGTTGCGCCATACTGCAAGCAAAGTTTGCGATGATATATACATTACATGATAATCTGATACATTGTAAACGCTACTAGTAGCTCCTGGCCTTACTACTAGTAACAAGAAGCTACTAGATTGGAGGCCATCGCTAACATCCTCACACCCGAACATTTTAAATGTCTAAACACTCTAGAGGTGACAAGAAAGATCAAAACAAACCGCTGAAAGCAAACAAACTCCCTGGAGAATCAAGGTACAGCATGCCCTGCTAAAGAGCAGGACCCCGCCTTCAAACCTACAAAAATGTTCATTTACACAATGAAAACATCCAAGTTCTGTTCGAGCTCGATCTGCCATGCATGCTCATATTATAGCTTGATTTGGTTTTCTAAACAGTTGGCCAACATCTACATGGTGATGTGGTCCTATTATGTGTTCGATGCCCTTTGTTCCTAGTAGCTTCTTGTTACATCTTGTTATTAATTCATGATTGTTTCCTGAAAAATTCCAAGGACCCGCGTCCGAACTGCAGCTCCTCAAAGGCTGATGGCCAATGTCCTTGCAAGGACAGACCATTCGCATTTGCCGCTCTACTGCTTCATCGCAGTCATTGCGAAGTCAGAGCAGCAGACACATCGGCCAGGGCAGATTGTGAGGCCAATTCCCGAAGATCGATTCCGCCTCTTAGGCGATGAGAAAGGGCACTTTTGGCTGAAGAAGCGAAGGGTGCCAGAGGTTGGGGATATTGTAGAGGTTTGCTTCTTTGAAGAAGACACCTACGACTACCTCGCAACGGCCCACGGACGGTATCCGCACCAGAATGAAGACCTTCTTTGCACCACTTTGAAACTTCATTGTCGCCGTTGTGACCTTGGAAAAAACGAAGCTTGACTCCGATTCAGTAGATTCAGTAGATGGTTCTTTCTGCGCGCTAGGCGTCCAAAGGTGTGTTAGTCCGGCCTGTACCTTGTTTAGATTGTTGTTGAGTGAATCATTTGCTCAACGAGGCTTTGGCAAATGATGCACTGCTTTCAATGGCCGTGGAGAATGTTGAGTTGAAATGGCCCTGGAAAAGAGCTCTTGGGAGGTTTGATTCCGTGGAACCGGGCAAGAAAATATGGTACGTCCGCCCGCGAAAGGATTTACCGTCAGTGGTGATTGTGAGAATCAGGCGCCCTGAGACGGTAAATTTCAAGTATCGCTGTGCTTCTAGCAAGAAGATCAGTGTGGATTTCTCAGCCGGAAGACGTCTCACTGACATTGCTGTGACAGCAGCTGGTTTCGATGCTCCACCTTTAGAGCTGAACCGTAGGTTTGCGAGCGAAGAGAGAGAACAACTCTTTATTATGGGACTTGCACGGGCAGAGCGCCGAGGTCCTGAAGGATATAACCGCCTAGAGGAGTGCCCCGAAGGGTTGGTGCGACAGCTGAATGTGGAGAAACTGGAGGAATACTGTCAAATCTTAGTTATTGGAGTCTTGCCTTGTCCAGATTTGCACTTGAAACTCCAGCGGCTGTTTCAGAAGACAGCAATGTCTCAAGCCAGAAATGGAGGTGCAAGGGCAGAGAGACGGGTTTGAAAGTGTTTCAAGTCCACGCTTCTTAAACTCTTGGAAGGAGCAAGAAGCTGCTGTGCACATGGTTGCTATAGTCATGTGAAAGCTCGCCAGAACTGATGAATAATATTCCGCATCAAAAGCGCCAGCGCCAGCAGCGCCAACCGCAAACGGATCAAGAAAACCATTTCCTGCTTGCATGGGAGGTACAGCTGCCATTGGCACTGGCCAGCTCATGTGAAACTTGCGCTTGTGTAGCAACTCTCTGATGAATATCTTGACCCAATAAAAGTCCCGATTCGATTGTTCACAGGACACAACTGTTGGCAGTTGGGTTTGTAGACAAACGAACCAATGAAATCCAATGAACATAAATAGCTTTCTTTGTCGCCAGGGCCGCAACTCACCATTGCTGAGCAGCTCACTGAAAGAGGACCTCACGTGATCTGGAACCTATCCGGTCGGTGGATAAGCTTTTACCCTTTCGGGTGGAAAGAGGTTAACCGTTTTTCCAGGGAAACTGAGGGGGTCAGGGAAGAACCACAAGCAAACATCTCATGTGGAAAAGCTGTCCTGGATGCAAATACTTGGGCCGATCAGTGCGTTTCAAATCACATGAAGCCTCCATGGCAGATGCTGCGTCCAACTACTGAGTGCACTCAACTGAGTTCGAAGGTTTCGGCCGCTCATCCATCCCAATCCATCTACCAAGCGGGTGGATTCCCATCGTGCATGGAAGAGTGGGGATTGCTGACTAAAACATGAACCAACATGTTCAAAGATCTCCAATGAAAGTACCGGTTCAAAAGGCAAGCCCTCAGCTTTGTGAACTCCGGTGTGTCATCAACGTACCGGTTCAAAAGGCACTCCCTTCAGGAGGCGCTGTGCTTCACTCTGGTGTGTCAGATGATGTACTCACCTCCCAGGACTCCCAGCGCACGGCGACAGGCGCGGATCCTTCCTTATTCGCTCGAACCAAGCGACGTTGTGATGAATCAGAAAAGGCCCCGTTCAAGAGGAGAACAATTCCAGGTACGAGTCTTTTGAGGGTTGGGCTGAGACCAGTGATCCTTGCTCTCCTTTGAGAGTTTGCTCACAAAAGCTGTCCAGGATCGATGGGCATTGCATAGAGCCCCGTTCGTAGCGTGGTTTGCTCCGTTCGTAGCGATGCCAGGAGCCCCGTTCGTAGTGTCCTTGTCCTTTTCAGCATCCAAAGCATGTTCTCCGTTCGTTTTGCCAGGTCCCAGTCCCGCTGTGCCAGGAACCCAGATGGGACCGCAATGTGAAGCAGTGAAGCACCCGACTATTGAGCGCCCCGACATCCCAACGGAACAGCATCACGAGGTAACAACGAGCACCTCCGATGTGAAAGAGATACAGAGACTCCATCTAGTAGTTAGGATGCTACTAGGAGCAAAGGGCTTCGCTACTAGGAGCAAGGACGCTACTAGGAGCTTTTTCAATGCCAATGGCATATTTGCCAACTAGGAGATTTGTTTTGTTCAGTGCGTGTTGATCTAAGCACCACGTAGCAGTACGAGCCAATCTTCCTCAAGATGATTGGCTATGGTTTTGCCTGTGGGTTGGGGATCCGCCGTATTCTTTTCAATGCCGCTCCCAGAAACTCCATCTATGGCATATTGGCCAACATTGGAATGCTTATTAGGCTATTTTGATCCTTCTTAGGTCGGGGTGTCCCATTCCAAATCTCGATCAGACCCGGAGACATCATGAGCAGATCTTCTTTTGAGTTCCGCTGCTTTCTTTTCGTTCCGCTTGAAACAGGATCGATACGGCGATGTTAACGATCGCCATATCGCTACTAGATGCTACTAGTAGCTGGTACTTGAGGCCAAGACACAAGGTCTTAAAGACCTCGTTCTTTTTTTCCCGATTCCTCGTTCGTCTTGCCAGCGTGTCGCCGAGGGATCCACGCGAAGCACGCAGTGTGCAAATGCCCGTGCGGGCCGCCCATCGGCCAGGGCCGGGGATCCTGACACTGAAACGCTTGGAGACTGCGACTGTCTGGAAGTGTTCTCGAAACGGAACGTGATGGCCTCCAATCTGTAGGCAAGAAGCACTTCCCGCAGTTACCACCTGTACTGTAGCGATCCATCTACTTGGAAGTGACTCAAGTTGCATCACCTGCAGCTGTACACGTCGCCCTCTCATCAAATAATGATGGAGTCAGGCTGGTTTGTTTGCCCTTGGTGGTGCAATTGCAACTTCCATACTCCCTTCCATTGCAACAGTCAGTTGTTGGTCAAACATGTCTTGAGCGAGGATCCAGTTAAGAAGATCTCTTGACTCCGAAACTAGAACCGAAACCCACCCTTTGTCCAGCATGTAACTTTGCAATGATATCTGCTGCATAAAGCAGATTGAGCTTATGTACATGTGGAAAGACGAGGTTGTCACTTGATCCTTGCCTGAAGCTCGGGAAGTCATGACTTTCCTTTGCACCTCCCCATGTGTTGATGCGAGAAGCTGGTGCACCACCTGAAACCCAAAGACCCGAAGAAGCCTCTTTGGTTTGTTGGTCCTCGTGGAACGGATTTCTGCAGATTGGATCCAATGGGCTGGTGGGGGTCAGTGCTTTTTGGTGTCATTCGTGTCATTTACATCCAAATCTCATCCTTCCTACGTCCAGAATTGTCCTCGAAACGGGAGAGCGGCAGGATGATCAGCCCCGGCCAAGAAGCGTATGGTGCGCCGAAGACCCGCCGGGGGAACCCGGAAAGGGAGTTGGGCTCGGTCAGGAGGAGCTGAATGGAGTGCCTGGTGAACAACAGGTGAACTTGAAGGCGCCTTTTTAGTGTCACTGGAAGGAGCAACACGAAACATCACGAAACCCAAGAGGGCAGGCATAAATCGGACCTTCCACTTGAAGTCCCTTTTCAAGTTCCCATACTCCTTTCACCCATCACAGTTGCCCTTCAGTAAGTCCCGTTGATCGATCTTAGATTCCGTCCGTTTACCAACCTTTGTTACTCCTAGCTTCTTGTTACTAGTAGTAAGGCCTGGAGCGCCCCTAGTCCCGTCTTTTTGGAGTTCCCCAGCATGGTTAGGCGGGGGTGGGATGATCGATCGTGCCTGTGGTCCCACCTGATCGACATTGGAGGTGTCTCACATGGGATGGCTGCATCGATGTCACAACAAAACATCCCGTCGCGAGCTCAAATGAACATTATCTTAGAAACAGGACATGCTTTTATTGTCTTCTATCTTCTGGTTATTTGGCTATAGATCTGAACCGATTTGAACATTTCTTTCTTCTCATGTGCTTTTTGGCTGTTGAATTTGCGTGCTGCTGACTCTTGAACAGAGAGTTTCAACAAAGCTTGTCATGAGCATCCCCGAGCGCCGTTTGCTGTGGAACACCAATGCGGCTTGAATAATCTTCCCACTGTACAGCAAGAGTCAGAGAGTTAAAGTCTATTTTGGAAGCATTGGCCTCCAACCTAAGAGCGATGTTAACGTCTATTTTGTGCATTTTCATGGTATCTTTGAGGCTTCTTGCGATCAGCAAATGTTCACGCAAAGGCTGAAATGAACAACTTGCCTCAGAAGTTTGCAACATACGGCAACTCAGCAGTCAGCAGTTTCTTCTCAGCCCGCTCCCAAGGCCAATGATGTCTGGCCGTGTGATGCCAGGGGTGCGGCGAGCAGTCGGGATGAATGCTTTTGATGCACTTCGGTGCCGCAACGGTTTTTGGGATCCAACGGTTGTTCAACTCGACCAATGCTTCGTGTCGACTGGAATCTACCGCTTAAATTTGAATTAAATTCTAAGAGCTTTTTGTTACTACTAGTAAGGCACCTGTTACTACTAGCGTGGCACTTTTTCTACTAGCTTCCTGGGAGCACCCATGATTTTGATTGTCTGGGATGCTCGACAAGGGCCTTGGATGATTGCAGAACTTACTGTAGAGCTGTAGAGCTAGAGTATGATGCCACATATCACCTGAGTATACCTGAGTCTGTCGCACATCTGCCTGTCGTTGCGGAACCCCTGTCGGAAGTATTGGGGAAGTAGGAGTGTGTTTACATGGTTCGCTTTGAAGGAGTCTTGTTCCAAGCCCTTGAACGACGGCCTGGAAACCTACTGCGGGTCACTCGGACCGATCCGCCAGGTCTACACGGTGCATCGCTCTGGCGCAGGATCTCCGCAGATGCCACACCCCATGGCCATGGCGCCCCAGGCGATCAAACGTACCCAGTCTCCGGTCGGTGTGGAGCTTTCCAAGCTCAACTTGTCAACGGATGGTACTGAAAGCTGGTTTTAAAAAGGAACGAGAAAAGCATGGTCTAGAGTTTTCAAAGCAGCGAAGAAAAGAACATGGGAAGAAGGGAACGGAAGGTCTTTGAATGGAAATTTCATAAAGCATGTTTCCAGTTTCTTGTAAAATTACTGTTCTTTCCTCAAGATGAGCGGAACGCAGTGTTCGTTCAACCACCTCGCCTGATTGTCGAGGCTATCCCCATCGGGTATGGTGTGAGAAGATGAATTCACCAAGTTTCTGTGACAGTGTAGAGAAATGCCCCACACATTGACAGGATTGAGGGGGCAGTGGTAGATTTGCTAGAGGAGATAAGGCGCAATGGTGGGCATAGAAGTTCTTTGTCGGTTTTCTGCAGTTCCTGAAAGGTCTATTTGTGGACTTTGGGATACTGTTTTTGTGTGTGTCCACCTCAAGATGCCTTTGTTTGTTGCTCCTTGGCATTGTTTCAAGGCCCTCCTTCACAGTTGGGGGGCCGTGCGCGACACGTGCGCACGAATTCGGCTTTCGCCAAGTGCGCGGGCCAACAACTGTAGTGAGCATGGACAGGAGTGGAAGAGCTACTCCTCGTGATTAGTTCCCTTATTGCACTTATTCAGAAAGATGCTTAGCTATGGAAGGAAGTAAAAGAAAGAATCGAACATACGGTTTTCACAGTGCCCGAAGTGTTCTGATGCTGGGGGATTGAGATCGAGCAAGAGCAGGTGGGTAAAGCCAGCTTGGCCCCGGGTGCTCGTGGATGGT